TGAACAACAGGCTGCTGGTCTGCCCAATATGCACTCCCTAGCCGGAGCAGGACTTGGTCTTTCTCTTGGCTGACCCCCTGGCCCTGTCTCTCTCTAAGCTTTATCCCTTCACAACCCACTAGCTCCCCAGACTTTATAGCTTACTCCTATGCCCTTAATATGGCACAGGATTAAGTACAGCCAGTACTTTAAGAACTGGTTTAAGGTACAGCCAGTTCTCCTGGAATCCTTTTCTCCTCCAAATTGCTTCCCAGCGGATCCTTCCCACCAGTTTTCTGAGTTTGTTAAAGTCTGCTTTTCTGAAGTCCCATGTCTTTATTCTGCTGTTCTTCTTCTTTCCTCCTTGTAGGATCTTGAACTCTATCATCATGTAGACACTCTCACACAAAGTACTGTCCACATTCACATTTTTAATGAGTTTCTTCCTGTTTGTGAGTAGAAGGTTGAGAAGACTTTTGTCCTTAATTGTGCTCTTCATTACCTGTACCAAAAAGTTATACCCAACACAGTCCAGGACTTTGTTGGATTACCTGTACACTGCTGTTTTTCTTTCCCAGTAGATGTTACAGTAATTAAAGACCTCCATGAGAACCAGGTCCTACAATTTGCAATTTGGAAACTTCCATCAGTTGTTTAAAGAAGGTCTTGTCCACTGCCTCCTTGATTTGATGGCTCGTACCAGTGCCTATCATGACAGCCTCTCTTCCCCTTTGCCCTCTGGCTTTACCCACTTATATCATAATTGCTTAGTTGTACCAGGACCTCCAATTCTTCCCATGCTTCTCATGTTAGTATATAAACATTTCAGGTTTCTAACTAATGGTCCTTTTCTCTCCCTAAGAACATTGCTAAGACTTCCACTATTGCCTCCCATTATTAAGTTTTTATCAAGGTTCCTTGTCTCTACTTACCTTTGTGCTTTTTGTCTCCATCCACTGGTAAACCTATTGTAAAGATAAAAGAGGAGTTTGTGTTTGTGGAGATAGGAAGGGTCTGAACAAGACACTTCTCTGTAAATTATTCGTTCAGGTATGCAAATCTGAGTTCATGATACCATGATATTCTATTAATGTGAATAATTCCACATAAAAATATTTTTATAACAATATTATGTTAAACAGGTTTAACACAACTGTAATAATGATGAGTGAAATAGGTAAGATATTTGAAAGTCACAAAGAGATACATTTTCAAAGACTTTTACCTCCTTAAACATTTTTTGGTGCTTCTCATGACTTTAATGGCCTATCTGATGTTTATCACAAGGCAGGAGAAGTAGGGAGGCATAACTTGGAGCAATTTAACTGTATCTGCCTTCACAGAAACAAAAGCAAAAGAAACTTAATTTATCATTATTTGTCATTCAGTTGCCTAACTTCAGGTCATTTCCTATCCACTAGTTTCAAACTATTGTTTTATTAATGAAGAATTTTGTTTTCTTATTTTGTCTTAAAACTATTGCACAGGTACCATTGTGTCAAAAAATCTTGTAAATGACAGTTCCAATAATGTATATCAACCAACATTTCTATGATCCAATTCTTCTTTCATTTTACATAACTGCTATTAAGAAGTAACTGAACTGAAGTCATTTTTTAATAGGAAAAGTATATTGGCTTCAGGGGACAATTCAGTAACTTTTCAGCTCCTCTTGAACATATCAACCTTCACATCCGAGGTGGTTACATCATTCCCTGGCAATACCCTGCTGCTAATACTGCTTTAAGGTACTGTAAGATGAACTGGAAAACTGAAATGTATGTGTGGGGAATGTGTTATTTGTGAATATAGATGCTTAGTCCAGAGTATTAAAAGTTGTCCCAACTGAGATGGCCTAGAGAACAGGTGATTAAGACAGGTATAGAAAAATTTCAATTTATCACGTGGTGGAAAAATATAACAGGGAATCAGTTTGGGAATGATTTATTATAACTTAAAAAGTTATGTTTCATGATTTCATGGTGAGTCACTCTTTAGAACCCCTTCTGTCTCTCTGAGTGCACATGGGGTGATAGGCCTGGCTTTCAGCACCTCATTTTCGAAGGACATATCATTCTATCAGCTTTACACTGGATTTCTGGGCTGCAGCCTCTGGTTTTTTTTGCCATACATTTTAACACAACAAATCCAATTGATTTTGATACCTGTAATTTCTTTGCTTTGGACATCTGACACAATAATGCTGTAGTTACACAGGAACAATCTTTCAGAATATACGAGGTATGTCTGTATAGCTGGGTTGAATGTGCATTGTCCTGGTTAGGAGATTGGTACCTACTTGATAAGCATGAATGTTCCACAGCAAAGTAATCCCCATGTTACTGTGTCTTTGGTGCTAAATGTTTATAGGCATAAGACAGTACAACAGTGCAGATATAGCCAAAGGAGATGCACCATTTTGGAAAACAGACACATATACATCTTGTCTTAACCTATGTATAAATTTAACTTATCCATCACACATTTTGTTATTCCTTAGTTCAGGCATCCCTTTTCAGCAGCAGAGTTAATGTTCAGCCACACAGATGCTCTGTGTCTCTCTCAGTGTCTCAGTGTCAACTGCAGCTAACAGCTTCCAACCCTTCCTGAAAATACTCATATCTTTAAGGTATTAACATAACCTTTGATTTTGGGTTTAGCTTGGGAAGACTAAGGTCCCACAGCCTTCATGGATGCCAGACTAGGGTTATTTCTCACTAAGTATTTTCTGAATTGTTTCATGAAGGACCCTTGGTACTAACTATAACAGTCCCCTATCTCTCTCCTTGCTTCCTCCCTCCTCCCCCATATCCAAACTGTGGCTATGAAGAAATGAAGAAAGACATAATGTGTTGTTTGGATCTAATTTTTTTTAGTCGAAGAAACTCAATGGGACTTACTGTTGCTTTGGATGATGGTGGACTTGCTCAAGGTCAGCTGTATTGGGATGATGGGAACAGCATTGGTGAGCACATTTTTTTTTTTTTTTGTCTCATAATAACTTGAAAAGATTTTAAGGTTTATATGAAGTTGCATAATTATTGTTTTCCCCTTATTACCTTGTATCGCTGATTTGAACAGTTGAGTTTTTTCATGTTTTTTAATTATACTTTTCTTTGATATTTGGTGTGTAAATAATTGTCCATCTACATTGACTTCAGTATATGCATGTACACTCCAATCATGATGATCATTTTGCATGTGCATAGTTCTCTTGTATACAATATAACTGCATGTGTGAGTGAGAGCTTTGTAGGAATTTACCCATAAACATATTTTGAGACCCAGAATTCTACATCTTGGGGTGCATGGATAGATTCTCAAATTTGCAAAGACCCACTGAAGGCAGGGGGCCTATATACCAGGCTCCTCCCACATTATGTTGCAAATTTCAAGACCAGGGTTTACAAGTTGGAAACTGAAGAACGGTCTTACTTACCTGTTCTTACTGGAGTTCTTTGAGCTGAATTCTCTAATTACACTGTACTTATGGGTGCAGACAAAAATGACAATGTTCACCTAATCTTGCCACAGAAAGCACAGTTTACAACAGTGACCAAACACAAGTGCAAGGCTGCAGACCACTTCAAAAATGGCTGATTGGGTGAAAACCTAAACCCTCATTGTATGAGGGGTCAGATGAAGATGTTTCAAAACAGAGAGTCTTCTGAAACTTGTCTGCACTGCCTGCCACCCTGTCGCTGGGGAAAGAGAGCAGAGGGAGTTCATTCTGGGGGGGTTTCAGCCCCCACTGGAAGATGGGGTGGGTATATTGAGCTCCCCTGGTGTGGGGAGGCCTCCAATTCACCCATCCCACCCTCCAGCCCAGGCTGGGGAACCCCTAGAATGAGCTCCCTCTGCTCCCTTTGCCCACTCCCATTCTGAAACAGGGACATGCTGGGAAAGAGGAGGGGCTATTGTGAGAGGAGACCAGCTGCAGGCTGGCAGCCAGCAGCTAGATTCCCACACCCCCTGAAACCAGCAGTAAACTTCTGTTTGGTCCCAGGGATCAGAACAATTCCTGCAATGTGTTTTCAGTTACAGTGTGGAGCTGCACTTCAGTCTGCACCCATAGAGTCCATGTGGCGGAGATCAGAGTATTTTAGCCTTTAGTGCCACCTGCACCCAGCTGATCTTGAAGCCCATTTGCACAAATAGGATAAAATGGACAACTGACCTCTATTTCTGCTCAGTGAAATTAACAGTAATATGGGAAGGAGAGGAGTATAGGACACACAGACAACACGTCTTGAAGAATGACAATTACCGGTAACTTCCCTTTCTTCTTTGAGTGCTTGTCTGTATGTGCCATCAGTTCAAATGGATGAGCCAGGGGTGGGTGGGCCCTAGAAGAACTAGAGAAGGTACAGAGAATAGTAGTAGGAATGATTAGTGGCATGGAGGAGCTCCCATATGAGGAGAGACTAAAGAGGCTAGGCCTATTCAATTTTGAAAAAGAGAAGCTTGTGTGGGGGGACATAAGGGTTTACAAAATACTAACTGATGAAGAAAAGGTAAATAGGGATTTATTATTTACTTCTTCTCACAATAGGGGTCATAAAATGAAACTAGGAAGCAGTAACTTTAAAACTACCTAAAGGAAGTTCTTTTTCACATAGCATGTAACTGAAGTGTGGAGCTCATTGCCTCAAGATATTACAGAAGCTGGTAGTTTAGCCAGATCCAAAAAGCAATCAGGCACATTCTTGGAGGAAAGAAGCATCAGTAGCTATTGAACATGGGAGTTAAGGGTACAATCTCTGAATCAGAACTTTCTTGCTGGAGGCTGCAAGTAGAAGAGGGCCAAGGGGAAAACCTTGGTTATACTCTGTTCATGCTCCCTTTCATCATCTGCTCTCTGCCACTGTGTGATGCAGGACACTGGGCAAGGTGGACTTGTGGTCTGACCCAGTAAATGGCAAATCTTATGTTCTTCTAGTCTTATATTAAGGATTAAGAGAGTAGCCTTAACCAGTTTCCTAACAATTGGAAATATATATTTTCTGATATTAAAGGAAATGTTTATAAAAATGTATCCTCATGTAAATTGTGTTGTAAATGCAGTAGCATGACTGTGAGGGGGTTAGGGATTGGGGCAGCAGCCTCAGATATTGCTTTTACAGGGAAGGGGAGCCACAAAAATAGCCACCCTGTCAGTGGGAGCTGATTATTCTGCTGCTGTTGGTATGGTGGCAACCCTTGCTGCCCCATGCATCCTAACTGCCCACCGACACCTCTGCTTAGCCATTAATGTTAAATTAACAATAAATCTTCATTTAAGGTCACAACAGCTATCTTAAAGATGTCACTGGACATATATGGCCTGTTGTCAATATGTCTTGTGGTTCACTGAAGTATGGCAACACGAATTACTAGGATTTGGAAATGATGACCATGTGTGTAGAGTATAATGGTAGATTAAATTAACATGGATGATGAGGTATACTTCAGTAGCTTTTCTGTGATCTATTTTCCACAGATCACTGATGCAAGATACTACAGTGCTTCTACTTATCAGCATCATGGCAAGCTAGTTTAGATCCATAATGTGAAGCTTATTGATAAAAATAAGCAGTTATGATTTCAAAGGAGACATTCCTATCTATCATGATAATGTGTTCCTGGTGAATGTGAGGTGGGAAATCACTGGCATGCCTAGTGGGAGAAACCCTTATCTCCCTCTAAAGGAGTTGACTTCCCCTGGTAGCTGAGAGATGAATGAGAAGCAGAAATGCCTTATACTAATTCAAGAAGAGTTGTTGGCTTTACTTGTGATTTGAAATTTAAGAATGATTGGTCTCTAACTCCACACCATGAGTCCTTATCAACTGGAACATAAAAGCTGAAATGAAATTGTCCTTTGATTTTTTTGGCCAAATGCAATACATGGAAAAAACAAAAGCTCAGATTGAACCTCCATCAAATATTACTTTTGACAAATGTCAGTTTGCTGATTCAGATGCAGGAGGTAATACTTTCAACCAGTCAAATTGGATGGTGTTTTGGGATCTGGTTCTAAACAGCAACTGTGATGTCTTCTTAGCAACCCAACTGAGCCTGTTCCTCATTCAGTTCTCCCAGGGACACTGCCCAATCTTGCTTGCCATGTCTTGCTGAAAATTTTGTAGCAATTTGGGAGGTTGCTCTGAGAATTCCCAAGAATGTCTACAACCTCACAAGCCACCTCATACTATCCTAATCCTTGACTCCTTGATCTTTGCTAAGCAGGATCTCTCCCCCTTTTAATGACATCTAGTATCCCGTTCCCTCAAGCAATCCTGGAGCCTCTGGAAGGCTATGCCCACAAACAGTCCAGTGGCTGTGGACAGCCAGCTCCCACAAACAGTTCAGGAACCTCTGGCAGCCCACAGCCACAAATGATCTTCAGGTTTTTGGTAGCCCTCTTTCACAAACACTCCAATGTACCCTGGTAGCCTTTTCACTCAACCCATTTAAATGAATTCAGGGTGCCTTCCTCAGAAACCTGCAGCACTCTGCAATCTCCCCTTCAGCCACCTGCAAGCCTCACAGTGAACAAACCCAAAAAAGCAATGCAAATGTACCTTTCAAAAAGTATAAACTACTTGGCTCTCTATGGGTCTCTTTGAAAAGCTCCTTCCCCTAACAAGATCAGGACCAAAGTGATTTGGTTCTGTTCTGAAGCTGCTTTTATGTGTTTTCATTCAAGTTCTGTGAGCAAGGCCCAGAACCTCAGACTTTCTGCCCCATGCAAAATAAATTTGTTTTAGCAGGGCTGTGTCCCTTTTCTTAGTAAAGGTTTTGGGGCCCCTATAAAGGTGGATTAAGACTAGCAGCTCCCCTATGTAATTTTGCACTCACTAAATATTAAGTGCTTTTCCCAAAATTAGCTGGCCTTGCCCAAGAGAGTTTCCTTCATCTTCCTAACATTGGTTTGCTTCATTTTGTTTCTTCACAACTCACAGCTCCATGTGACCTCTTGTGTCATTGAAGCCCAGATATAAAAGATGCAAGAATCATACTTAATTTCCCAATCCAGTAAAGTGCTTAAGTGTATTTTCACATATAAATTAATGAATAATCCTATATAAATCAATGGGATAACTTCCATAATGGAAGTTAGCTGTATATGTAAATGCTGTATTAGATCAGGTCTAAGTAGCAGAAACAGGGTCTGTATGACCTGGATCAGGCTATAGGCATTGAGATAAGTTGAGTTTATTTTGCCAAACCAAATATTTAAGAATAATCAAATTAGTTTTGAAAAGTAGTGCAGATGAATGACTTCTTGTGCTAAGAAATCTGTTTTGTGCCCCAGGGGCGAATACTGGGGCTGGTTTTCTTCAGTATCTTCATTGATGATCTTGAAGATGGGATAGAGTGCACCCTCAACAAGTTTGCAGATGACACCAGGCTGGGGAGAGTAGTAGATGTGCTGGAGGGTAGGGCAAGGATTTAGAGAGATCTAGACCAGCCATTCCCAAACTCTGACAGGTTGCATACTACCAGTTTTAAACAATACAGCCTTTTTTCATACACATAGGTAACAGACTATGTATTAAAACAGCATCAAAACCTTTAGTAATCATAAAACATTGCTTTGTCAGTTATGGTAGCCATATAAAACAGTTAGAAATTTAAAAAAAATTGATCACAATTAGTTGTGCAATTGTTGCAATTGCAATTTGTGAAGGTGTGGGGGGCTGTGGATGTGTGTGGGGTTTGAAGCCTAGGAAGGGGGGTCCCCACACACCCTGGCAGGATGCAGGGTACTATCGGTCAGAAGTGAGGGGCAGCATCAGGGCTGGGGGGGCTGTGGCTTGAGAGTGACAGACACACACAGAAAGACAGACAGACAGACTTACATACATAGACAGACATGCACACAAACACACAATGCCTAGCAGGTAAGTTTGTGGAGGGGGAGGATTGGGGGAAGAGGGGGAGATCATCCCCCTTAGTGAGGGAGGAAGTGGAGCAGGGGCAGGGATGAATGGGACCCTGGGGTTGTGAGATGGAGCCATGGGCGACTTGTCCAGGGGCACTGGGGGAGGTGTGGCTCCCCACCATTGTGTGCACCCCTGGGAAGGCATGCCCCCTGGATTTATGCACGGGGCAGAAGCAGACTGCCTGCTGCATGCTGGGCTTTGCACTGTGCTGCTGCTGCCTCTGACCTGCACAGGATGTCCCTACCACATGCTGGCTGAGTTCCTCTACCTGCCTGGCAGCAGCAGGCACATGGTGTTCCGTGCAGATCCGGAGGCAGCGGCAGTGTTGGGGGGGTACCACTGCTGTGTGCACTCTGGGGCAGGCATGGGAGGCACATGCCCCTCCGGATCTGTGTGTGGGGTGGAGGCGGGCTGTATACTGGGCTCTGCAACATGTGGCACTGCCTCCGGATCTGCGTGGGACGCCTTGTGTCTGCTGCCACCAGGCAGACAGAGACACATGGCCAGTGCACAGTAGGCACATGGTGTCCTGTGCAGGTCTGGAGGCAGGGGCAGCAGCAGCAGTGCGGTGTTGAGCCCATTGTGCAGTGGGTAGGCTGCCTCTACTCCACGCACAGATCCAGGGGGCAGATGCTCCCCGTACCTGCCCTGGTTGCACCCAGTGGCAGGAGCCCTCCCACACCCCTGGAAAGGCCCATTGCACCTTTGTGCCTGCCTTGCAGCAAGGACAGAGTGAGCCAGCCCAAGGGGAGAAAACCCCTGGGGAGCAGCAAGTTGCTGCTGGTGCACTCTGCTAAAGCTGCCTCCGGAGCTGCAAGGGACACTGTGCCTGCCGCCACTGGGTGGGCAGAGGACGCAGTACAGCCAGCATGTGGCAAGAACATGGCATCACATGAGGCTCCTGGGGCAGCAGCAATGCAGTGCAGAACCCAGTGCGCAGCTGCAGTCTGCCTCTGCCCCTCACACAGATCCAAGGGGCATGTGCCCCATGTGCCTCCCCCAGGGTGTGTGTGATGGCAGGGACCCCTCCACACACACAACCTTGGATGAGCTGCCTGGACTCTTCCCATCCCTGCCTCTGCCCCCCTACCTCCCTTACCATGGGGGCCTTAATGTACCCTCCTCCCCCCAACACACTTATCTGCTGGGTGATGCTCCACATATGGTGCTGTGTTCCTGGCCCTGTGCCACAGGCTGTGTGCAGCATGCTGCTGCAGGGATCTGGGTTTGGGTGGCCCCTCCTCCCAGCCTTCCACGTACCACTTAAAGGGCATCTGCGTACCAGTTGTGGTATATGTACCACAGCTTAGGAACCATTGACCTAGACAGTTTGGAGGATTCAACCAAAAGAAATCTCAGGTTCAATAAGGACAAGTGCCAAGTCCTGCACTTAGGATGGAACAATCCCATGTATTGAGACAAACTATGGACTGATTAACTGGCTAAGCAGCAGCTCTACAGAAAAGGACCTGGGCTAGGGACAGACATTACACATAAACTGGTTTAAGTGATCGGAAACTGGTTTAAAATGGCTGAAACCGGTTGAGATAAACCTGGTTGAATGATGTATCAGACTTAACTGATTTGTGTCGAACTGGTTTATGCAATGTCTGTCCCAGACCCCTTCCTGGTTTAACTTAAACCAGAGTCCTCCAGCATCCTGGCATACTCTCTGGGCTGGGCTTTCTGCTCCAGTGGAGCAGGACTAGCCCCGCCCCTCTGCTCCCCAGTTGGAGCAGGGACAGGCAGAGGCAGGGATCTGGCCAGAGAGGTGTTTTATTCACCCCTCTCTGTCCCACCAGCAAGAACTCAAGCCTGGTCTGCTGGGCACTCCCCCCTCCCTGCTGCAGGGGACAGGAGTTATTCCTCTCTCTACCCCCACTACCCTCAGAGGACCACAGCTCTGTCTTCTTCCCCAGGTTGCTGCCACTGCTTACTTGCTGCTTGGGACAAGCAGCAGAATACATGCCCTATGCTGGATCCTAGAGGGAGGGGGAATAACCCCCATACCTGCTCCCCCTAAGGGGCCCTGCTGGCTGGTGTCTAGCCATGCCCCTGCCCTGCTGCTGGTGCAGTAAGGTGGCAGGGCCCTTGATGGAGACAGCAGCCCCCGTCATAGTGTTGGGGAGCAAGCACAATCGCCTTCCAAGCAGGGGGGCCCTGCTGTGGGGTGGGCAGACCTGTGGCGGACTGCACGCAGAAGCACTGGGGGCCATAGCCACCCTCAGTGCTGCCACTGCTGCTGTGGTCTGCAGCAGCTTTTCTCACCCTGCAGCAACTTTCCCCACCAGGAAGAGGCTTGTGTATGGGGAAATCATGACAACAGTTGCTGCCCCCATCATGGTCACTCCCCCATTGCAGTTCCAGTGGCTAGGTGGGGGCGGTGCCAGACACCACCAGCAGGGCCCCTTGGGGGAGGGCAAGGAGTGGGGTTATTCTTCCTTTTGCCCCCAGGGCATGCAGCAGGGCCTCCCGGCCCCTGCCACTGCCACTGCTCACTCTTTGCCCTGGGCAAGTAGTGGATTAAGCCACCTCCTGCCCCCGTCCCTCCAGTGTCTGGTGGAGGGGGCTTATTCCACTGAGCACAGAGCAAGCAGTGGCAGTGGTGGTGGCTGAGTTGGGCAGACCCCACTGCAGTGCCCTGGAACGAGCGGATAATCCCACTCCTTGCCCAACCACTGGAGTGGTGAAGGGGAGTGACTGTGATGGAGGCAGCAGCCCCTGCTCTTTTGGGTTTGTTCTCCAAGGCATGGGAGTGACTGAAGGGGAGATTGGATTGTGCTGCAGATTCCTGAAGAAGGCATCCTGAATTTATTTAAATGAGTTGAGCTAAAAGGCTACCAGGGTACATGGGAGTGTTTGTGAAAGAGGGCTGCCAAAAACCTGAAGACCGTTTGTGGGTGTGGGCTGCCAGAGGTTCCTGAACTGTTTGTGGGAGCTGGCTGTCCATAGCCACTGAACTCTTTGTGGGCATAGCCTAACAAAGGCTCCAGGATTGCGTGAGGGGAACAGGATACTAGATGTCATTAAAAGGGAGAGACATCATTCTTAGCAAATATCAAGGAGTCAAGGATTACGATAGAATGAAATGGCTTGTGATGACCCTGGTAGGTGAGGTTTCCCTGAGCACGCGCCTCTTTCTGGCAGGGAAAGCTGCTATGGGATGAGGAAAGCTGCTGTGGCATGCAGCGGCAGCAGTGGCAATGCTAGGGAGGGCTCTGGCCCCCTCCAAGCTCACTGCTGCTGTGCAGTATGCCCCAGCTCTGCCTGCCCTGCAGCAAGCCACCCCACCCCCATCAGGAAGGGGTTTGCATTCCCTGGCACTATGACAGGGGCTACTGCCCCCATCAAGGGCCCTGTCCCCTGGCTGCTGCAGCAGCCAGGTGGGGGTGTGGCTAGATGCTGACTGGCAAGGACCCTTAGGCAGTGGGCAGACCCAGGAATTTTTCCCCCTTCCTCTGGCATCTAGTGGAAGGGGCAGGAGGGGTTTTATTCTGCCACTTGCTCCAAGCAGATAGTGAGTGGCAGCAGTAGTCGAGGTGGGCAGACCTGGCTGTGGTCCCCCAGGGGCAATGGGGATAGATGGGGGAATAAACCCCTCCCTGCCAACTCAGCCTCAGGGGCCTTGCCAGCCTGCCACTGCAGCAGAGAGCAGGGAGCACCCAGCAGACCCAGCTCAGGTCCCTGCTGGTGGGACAGGGAGTGGAAATGAAATCCCTCTTTGACCAGTTTAGCCCAGGCTGGCCACACCCCCTCAGCACAGCTTCCCCGCAGCTGAGGATGCTCTGTAGTGCCCCCCTGGGGTCTGCCCTGAGCAACTGCAGGCATGTGCCCACAGTTCCTCAGTCCAGAGGGAATGTCTGTGCTGTTACAAACCAGTTCAGCCTAGCCAGGTTAGACTAACCTGAAAGATTTAATCAATTCAGGCTTTGTCTTTTTGAATGTCTGTCCCTAGCCCAGAAGGTTACAATGGACAACAAGCTCAATATGAGCCAATAGTGTACCCTTATTGTAAAGAAGACTAACAGCATACTGGAATGCAATTAGTAGGAGTATTATCAGCAGATTGAGGGAACTGATTATTCCCCTCTATTCAGCACTGGTGAGGCCACAACTGGAGTACCTTGTCCAGTTTTGAGCCCCCCACTACAGATAGGATATAGAAAAATTGGAGAGTCACGTGGAGGGCAGTAAAAATGGTGAGGGGACTGGGGCACATTACTTATGAGGAGAGGCTGCAGAAACTGAGTTTACTTGGTCTGGAGAAGAGAAGAATGGGGAGGGAGAGATTAACCTTCAACTACCTGAAGGGTGGTTCCAAAGAGGATAGAGCTAAACTGTTTTCAGTGGTGGCGGATAACAGAAAAAGGAGAAATGGTCTCAAGTTGCAGCAAGGGAAGTTTAGGTTCGATATTAGGAAAAAAAATTCTAACAAGGATGGTAGTAAAGCACTGCAACAGTTTACCCAGAGAGGTTGTAGAATCTTCTTTGGAGGTTTTTCAGGCCTGGCTCAACAAAGCCCTGGCTAGATTGATATAGCTGGAGATGGTCCTGCTTTGAGCAGTGGGTTGGATTAGATGACTTCCTGAGGTCCCTTCCAACCCTAATTTTTTATGAGTCTAAGACTGAATGGTGAATTGACAGAAGGAAATCTTTTGGGCCTATTCACATAGTATGTAACTCATTGAATTATAATTTTAACTATGCTTATTTTGGAAATCGAAACACTATTCTATACTATAAGCAATTTATGCATATCATGTATTTCAATATAATTTATTCACTCTACAAATTTCTTTTTGCAGATGCATATGAAAATAATGTTTTCCTGTTAGAAACATTTAATGCTAGCCAGGTATGTGTTACTTGTAATTTTGCAAAGTACTGTTGCCTGCTCATCATCCCCAAAGCATTGGATAATTATTGATTATATTTACAGCTATGAACATTTCATAAAACTGACTCTTGGCTATACAGCTGTTTATGTTCAATAGTGTAATGGCTGTCAAAAATCCATTAATTTTGATTTAAAATATTAAATAGTCTAGGGCAGTGATGCTCAACCTTTTGGCCCCATGGTCCAAATGAGTGGCCTGGGACCAGTCTGTGAGCCAGAACCCTGTACCCCAAAATCGAGCCCGCATGACCAGAACCAGACTGTGCCACTCTCACCTGGTGCTACATGCCAAGATTGGGGCTCCAGGACTCCATACTATGTCCACATCATTTATAGGTGCCCCAGTGGTGAATGATTGACTTCAGTGGTGATCTGTGCATCCTATCCCTTCTATTAAGAGGTTGGGGAGATGCAACTAGAACACTAGATATGAGTACACCAAGGAGAAGGAGGCTGGGTCGGAATCAACACGCAGACCAAGTTGCCTAATTTCCTAAATAGCCCCTAACTCTACTGTGGAATAAAATAAAAATCCAGATCCATATATCTGCAGACTTCTCCAAGAATTGGAGCATTTCAATTCTGAATCATCTCTGGCATAACCAATGTGATTAAATTATATTAAGGAATATTTTGAATGGAGTATTTTAATATTTCTTAAATATTGTGTGCATTTTTTATCCTTAAAGTAAATAAACATCAATATAAACCCATATTTATAAAATTAAGCCATTTACATCAAATCAATTCAAAGAAATAGCACTGGCTAATAATGTTATTTTATCAGCAGCACTTTCAATGTCACTTACCAATTTATTAAGTAGCATATCTATTTAAGTAAGTAGATTATAATTCATCATCTCTTGCATATATTTAAATCCAGAATTCAGTAAAGGACATGTATTACATATCACACATTTTTTTTCTTTGGTATAGAAGAAAAATGGGGATATTGGAGTCTGGCATCCAAAGCCAAAATGAACTTTTAGGGCAGTTGCACCTTGTATTCTAGGTCTACATTTGGTCTGTTGATTTCATATTTAAATTAAACCATGAACCAATTAAAACACTTAAAAATAGTTCTTCAATTAAAAACAGTAATTTCAAAACTACAGGGGGCACTTGCTTGCCTGTACACAAATGCCAGGAGCTTGGGGAATAAGCAGGAGGAACCCGTCCTCCTGCTCAATGCAAATAATTATGATGTCATAGGGATAACGGAGACCTGGTGGGAATCCACTCATGACTGGACCACGGGTATAGATGGCTATACCCTGTACAGGAGGGATCGTGTAGAGAAAAGGGGCAGGGTGTAGCTCTCTATGTTAAGGAAAGCTACACGTCCCTGCAAGCCGATATTGGCGACCAGGGTGGATGGCTGGAGACCCTCTGGG